TTTTTTTTTTTTTTTTTTTTTTTTTTTTTTTTTTTTTTTTTTACAAATAATTTAATCTTTTCTTTATACTGTGCTAGGTGACTTTATAGAGAAAACATTAAATATCCTTTTTAAAAACTCTGTTGAGCCACAGAATTGGATATGTAGCCACCATTTCAGAAACAACTTGCTTCATTTTCTCAAGCTTTGTAGCTCAAGACACTCAAACAATACGTTTTTTTGTTGTTGTCTTTCATGGATAGTATGTTTTTAGACTGTTTCTAATAGAGCAGGTTTTCCTCTATAAAACATTATAACTATGTTAAATAGTTATAATGAAGCACTTCAGTATAGTCCTGTCTCCTGTTGGCATTTACATTATTGCCAGTCATGAACACCTGAGTAGAAGACATGGGTGTATTCAAAGTTCACAATTACACTGTTTCTCTGTGGAAACTATTTATTAATGGTGATCACTGAGTGAGGAAGCAGGCCAGAAAAACTAAAAGAAAGCTTTGCATTGGCCTCACCTGGGGGTTTCTTGAAATATATAATTTTTGTTGAGCATCATAATGCCATTATTACATTATAAAATTTTAAGTGTTCCTGAGAGAATAATCATTTTTCTCTCTTTGGACGTAGTATTTAAAGATAAAGAAAAAAGTGAGAAGTAATTTTCTCTTGATATGTTGTCTCTACCCAAATAAATAAAAATACAGCATCTTAAAATTAGTTCTTGTATTTTTTTTCTATACCTGATTAGGAAAGTTACATTTTCTAGTGTTTTGAATTTTACTATTTTGATTGTAGTCAATAATAATCTGATATAATTGGGTAGAATTTTTATTAGTATATATGTACATTTATATGTATACACATACACGCACTGTAAAATATGATTATTGTAGGCAAAATATAGTTTAAATTCTTATACCACATTTAGAAAATGTACTTTAACAATATGTATCGTTATAATGAAAATTAGTCTAGTAACTTTTCAATATGTTATATAATTCAATTCTAACAGTGCCTTTATCCCAGCAAAATTTTATAGGGAAACAACACAAAATTTTCTAAATTAATAGTCTTGAACCAAAGGACACAAATCTTCACCTAAAGGAAAATAGGAATTTGCCTAAACTAATTTTCAGCTTGGAAGTCATAGGGATGACGATAGTTTTCAAACCTGATTTTGGAAACACCCTTGGATGTTTTAATGTACTTTATATATGATTCCACAGAGAGAGCACTGCTCTGTCTTTCTGTGGGCATGAAGGGACAACTGAAAAAAAAAAAAGTACCTTGGTTGAATTGGAAAAGCTTCAATTCCTCTATGTTAGCAGCTTTAATTTATTATACTGGGATTGCTAAATTTGGATTTGAATTGTCATTATATAAATGAATTACTCTTAAGAAAGTAGAGGACAATGACTAAAGAATTTCAGATAATTGCTTGCTAAAGTTAGAGACAGACTTATGTTCTCCTTACAAAGCTTTCCATTTAACCATCTGAATTGTCAAACCATCAGAATTCCTAGCCATAAGCATTATTCCTCTGAAAAGAAAAAAAAAACATTTGAATAAATAGAAGTTGCAGATTACTGATATGAATTTATTAACCTGTCTAAGAAGTAGTCTGGAGAACATGACAGTGATATTTTAGGATTTTGACTTTTGTAGTCACTTCAGATATACACAGTGAGTTTAATTTATACTTTCTCTAGTTCTTAACATGTGCTCGAATAATGAATGTTCATTCCTAATTTTGGTTTTTATACTCATTCATAATTAGCAGTGTCAATAAGAATGGACTTATTTTTATTCCTTTGAGCTGAGTAAAGACTTCAAAGGAGTAATTTATTACAACCGCATATTGCTTAGTTATGACCAATGATATGTGATTATGTGGGGATAGGCCATCTGTCTTAGGATTTCTAATGCTATGAAGCAATATATACACAGCAACTATTTTTTAATTTTTTTTCCAAAGCAGGATTTCTCTGTGTAGCCATGGCTGTCCTGCACTTGCTTTATAGACCAGGCTGGCCTTGAACTCACTGCCTGTACCTTTCTGAGCGCCAGGATTATAGGCATGTGCCATTGTAACCATAGCAACTTTTATTTTATTTTATTTTATTGCTCAGATTTCTTTTTATTCAGTTTACATCCCTATCGTAGCCTCCTCCATCCTCTCCTGGGTCCACCTTACCTCTTCCCTTTTTCCCCTCTTCCCTACTGCTCAAACAAGGGGAGTCTCCCTCCCCCAGTCAAGTTGCCTCAGGACTCAGAGCATCCTCTTTCACTGATGACTGGAAAGGCAGCCCTGTCAGAGAGAAGTGATAGATAAACAGGCAACAGAGTCCAGACAGAGCCAGCCCCTGCTGCCCTTCCTAGAAAATCTACATGAAAGCTGAGCTGCTCATCTGCTACACATGTGTAAGGGGCCTAGGTCCAGTTCATGCATGGTCCTTCACTTTTTGTATGCCCACCTTGGGCCCAGGATGGTTGACTCTGTTGGTTTTCTTACAGAGTTCTTGTCCCCTCTGCGTCCTTCTATCCTTCTTCCCACTTTTCCACAAGTCTCCCCAAGCTCCAACTAATATTTGGCTATGAGTCGGAGCATGTTTTCATCCACTGCTGGCTGGAGCCTCTCAGGGGACAACTATGCTAGGCTCTTATCTACAAGCACAGTGCCAGGGGTTGGTTCTCTCTCATGGTGTGGGCCTCAGGTTGGGTGAGGCAGTGGTTCAACATCCCCTCAGTTTCTGTTCTAACTTTAACCCTACAATCTTGTAGGCAGGGTAAAATGTTGGGTCAAAGTTTTTTGTTTTTTTTTTTTTTTTTTCATGGTTTGGTGTTCCTCTCCCTTTGCTAAGTGGGAAATAGTAAGAGCTGGAGGGGACAGGAACTCCACAAGGAGAGCAACAGAACAAGATAATTTGAACACAGGGAACTTCCCAGAAAATCATACTCCAACCAAGGACTATTCGTGGAGATGACCTGGAACCCCTGCACAGGTGTAGCCCATGGCAGTTCAGTGTCCAAGTGGGTTACATAGTAATGGGAAGAGGGACTGCCTCTGACATCATCTGATTGGCCTGCTCGTTGATCACTTCCCCCTGAGGGGAGAACAGCCTTACCAGGCCACAGTAGAGGACAATGCAGCCACTTTTGATGAGAACTGATAGACTAAGATCAGAAAGAAGAGGAGAACCTCCCCTATCAGTGGACTTGGGGAGTGACATGCATGCAGAAAGGGGAGGGAGGGTGGGATTGGGAGGGGAGGAGGGAGGGGCTTATGGGGGGATACAAAATGAATAAAGTGTAATTAATAAAAAATTAAAAAAAAAGAAGTCCTTTTTGGCTAGGAGGTAGCCTCTTCAGTCTCCATGACCCTCTCTACTAGGTATCTTAGCTAGAGTCACCCATATCCTTTCAAGTGCCTACCCTGTCGTTGGTCTCCAGCTTGTCTCAGAGATGCCCCTGCCTGTGGTTTCTCTTCTCCTTCCAAGTCCTCTGACCATGCTCTCCCCACATGTGATCCCCATTCTCATTTCCCTCGTACTCCCTCTCCTAACTGTTCCATCTCTTCATCTACTTCTGCTATTTTGTTTCCCCTTCTGAGTGAGATTTAATGAAAAACATTTAATTGTGTCTGACTTACAGTTCAGAGGTTTAGTCCATTATCATCATGGCAAGAAGCACAGCAGCATGCAGGTAGACATGATACTAGAGACTGAGCTGAGAGTTCTACATCTTGATCCACAGGCAGCAGCAGGAGACTGTCTCACTAAGCATAGCATGAGCATATATGAGACCTCAAAGACTGCCTCCACAGTGATATACTTCCTCCACCAAAGTCACCCCTACTCCAGGAAGGCCACACATCCTAATAGTACAACTCCCTATGGGTCAGCCTTTCAAACACGTGAGTCTATGGTGGGCATTGCTACTCAAACCACCACATCATCATTCACAAAGTTCAAAGACAAAGTGAAAAAAAAGGTTGCTTGTGTTAATTTTCATGATGCATAAGAGTTGCAACTGTGGCATTTTTAATGTTATCATTAAAGTTTAGCCTGCCTGAAAAATAAATTGAAAGAAAACCACTTTTTCTTCATTTAATTTCCTGGATTATTTCTATTCACAATCCACTTTAATTTTCAGAAATCCTTAGAAAGAAGTAAAGTATGAATATTAATTATTTATCTTGGCTTGACTCTTATAAAGGACTATATGCATATTAGACACCATTATTACTATCAGATTCTGAACTTTTAGAGTAAATATGGAAACTAAAGTCAGACTTTGGAATTATCAGTCTTGTTAATGCTGCTGCTCCAAAGCAAAGCCAAACTATCAAAATTGCTATATCTTCCTGGAGGGGCAGGGCTTGAACATAAGACTCATATAAACTGATATGTACCAACTTTAGGGTGAATGCTGATGAACTTAAGCTCTGTATAGATAACGGTAATGACACCAGGGGCTTTGTCAAGTATCTATAGTCTCAGCTATCTTCTAATTTAAAATGATTTGTATGTGAGCACAGTTTTCTGGCCTTTGAATGAAAGAAGCAGTTCACATTCTGACCCATGTTTTCTTAGTCCACCGTAATTAGATGACCCTTAGCAAGAGTTCAGATTTAAACTAACTCTTGAGAAATCATTTCAACAAATTAGGAGTTTAGAAGATGGCCAGATCTTGATAATACAATGCTCAAATAAAACCAAACTGCAGCATACTCGAATCAAATATCTGGGACACTCAAAAAAAAGTGATATCTGAGTTTATTTTGTTTTCTTTTTTGTCACAAAATTTATACTCATGGCTCTGTCGCGAGGCTTTTCATCCCTTTCCCGTATTGTGAAATAAACATCCAGTTCTTCTGATCAAATGCTAATGTAAGGCTACAACTTTTCATTCTAACCTCTTACTATCTTGAATAAGCGGGTACTTGATATATGAAATGCTATTCCCCTATCTTTTCTTACTATTCAGCTGGTCATCTGATATGCGGCTTAGAGCCTTAAGAATGCTCCATCTCTCCAAGTTAGACACATATTCTTTTCTAGTCCTCTGCACAAAATGATATGACAACATCATATTTCTATTTAATATTAACTTTCCTATTAAAGACACATCTCTTTAAGATTGTGGCATCATCTACTTCAAATATTCATGTGCAGATGCTTGTTTCTCCTTTAAAATTATAGTCTCTCACAGAGTTTGAGAAGAATTTCTATTAAAAACATGGCTGCAAGAATTCTGAGACATTCATGAGGAGTGGAAGAATGAAAGCAGTGGTGGAGTGAAAGGGTGACTTGTGCTAGTCTTTATGTGACTTTTTTATTCTGAGCTTTTCTGTGAAGGTAATAACAGCCCCATTTAACCACAGCAGGAGACTTGAATGAAACCCCAGGGAAACCCAAATTTCTTTTCTGTACTGGGCAATAGCAAATGTCTCCCACCACAGCCAGTGCTTGTATTACATGTGTTGGCTTCGCACTAATTTCCAGCTAGACAAAGCTCCACAGTGAGATACATTTGAGGGCAGAGCTGCCAATATGCCACCAGTTTTCCATGGGCATCAAGAGTGAGGTCATAGCTGATTCTTTTTTTTTATTAATTACACTTTATTCATTCTGTATCCCCTCATAAGCCCCTCCTTCCTCCCCTCCCGGCCCCACTCTCCCTCCTGTTTCTGCATGCATGCCCCTTCCCAAGTCCACTGATAGGGGAGGTCCTATCCTTCCTTCTGATCTTAGTCTATCAGATCACATCATGAGTAGCTGCTTTGTCTTCCTCTGTGTCCTGGTAAGGCTGCTCCCCCCTCAGGGGGAGGTGATCAAAGAGCAGGCCAATCAGATTATGTCAGAGGCAGTCCCTCTCCCCATTACTATATAACCCACTTGGACACTGAACTGCCATGGGCTACATCTGTGCAGGGGTTCTAGGTTATCTCCATACCTGGTACTTGGTTAGAGTATGAGTCTCTGGGAAGACCCCTGTGTTCAAATTTTCTGACAGGTCTGAGTTAAAAAGTAAACAGTTGTGCTTCTTTTGATGACTCACATATAGGGTTGCAATTCTTTTATTTTAATTTATTTTATCCTATTGGATTCAATTTAATTTAATTTTAAAGTAAGCAAACAAATGAGGACATTTTGTACATATTTTGTTCTAATTTACATCCTTCTCCTAATTTTCTCCCGTTGCCCTGTTTTGTTGCTATTCCATTCCTGTCTTACTAGGTCTTATACTTTTAGTTAGAATAATACATAAAAGGAGAGAGTTCCAGGATCAGAAAAATGAGGCTGGAATGAGATTACTGTTTAAAATATACTTTCTTAGTAGAGAGTTGCAAAGCCTGGACAGCCATGACATAGCCATGAAATAGGAGAACATTATAAGAGATAATTACTATGTACAGCATGATGAGAACTCAGAAAGAATGGACGGGCTCATCAGTTTTGGAGAAAAATATACATTTTTTGATTCTTCCAGGTCTTTAGGTGTGGGATTAGGGTTAGGGTTAGTGGTAGAATGGCCCACAACTTTTACGTGCTCACTAAAGTAAATAAAGGAGTTGTCTTCCTCAAGTCCTCATCAGTTTTTGTTGTTATGCTTCTTTTTATTTTTTATTTATTTTCAATTTACATTTCTTTCCATGTAATATATTTTGACCATATTCTGTCCTCTCCTCCAAATCATCACAGATCTCTTCCATCTTTTTAGAAACCTAACCTTATGTTCTGTCTCTTTCTCTAGAAACAAACAAACAAGGAAACAAATAAATAAATCAAAATAAACCAAAACTAACCAACCCAATAAACAAGCAAATAAAATAAAATAAAATAAAATAAAATAAAATAAAATAAAATAAAATGAAATAAAATAAAATAAAATAAAATATAAAATAATGTTGGGACTTGCAGCAAAGCATGGGACAGAGCTTCAGGTTCTTCTTGAAGCCTTGGGGAAAGATAGAAGGACCTGAAGAACAAGAACCTCGCAGGAGGACCAACAGAGACAATTAGCCCAAACCCATAGGGGCTTAAAGAGACTGAGACATCAACTAAGGAACATGCGTGGTTTGGACCTAGACCTCCTGCACATACGTGGGTCTCCTAGTGAGTTGGGGGGAAGGGCTTGTTTCCAACATGGACTCTATTATCTGCTTTTGGATCTCTTACCCCTGACAGGGATGCCTCGCTTGGCCTCAGAGATGAGGATATGCTCAGACTTGATATGAATTGATGTGCTGGGGAAAGTTGAGACAATGGCAGCCCCCACCCCCTTTTCTGGAGTAAAAGGGAGAGGGGAAGGGGACAGGAAGGGAAGTGGAAAGGGGACTGAGAAGAGGAAGGTTCCAGCCTTGAGATACAAAGTAAATAATCTGAAATAAAGAAAAATAACAATAATAACAACAAAAAATAAAAGTCAAACCAACCAACTAAACAAACATAAAACACAATAAGCCAAAAATTATCAAACCAATCAAAAATTATATAAAAAATGAAGTTCATTTTTGTTGGTCAAGTATTCCTGGCCATAGGGTCTTCCCTGGAACATGTTGATTAAGCCAAGAGATACAACATTGGAGAAAGCTGATTTTTTTTCCACTCCCAGCAGGTATCAGTTGCAGTAGCTCCTTGGTTGGGGCAGGGTTTATATTCACTTTCTATTCCCAATGTTGAAATTTGTCTGGTTTGTACCTGTGAAGGTCTTGTGCTTTTTTAATGTTATGGTTTCCTGTATCAATTTTAATAGTTTGGTCTTGTATTAAGACCTTTGAACCAATTTCAATAGAGTTTGGACAGAGGCACAGATCTAATATTTTGCAGTATTTCTTCACATTGTTTAATCTTTACTTAAATATAGTAAATAGTGGAAAACTTTTGTTACTTATTGGAATTTTAAATTCAAATGAATAATGTATCTGTTAAGGGTGTGGTCTGAAGAAAATGTAACTCTGTTCTTAAAATATTTGACACAAACGTGAGTTTATATACAAAGTTAAATGATTTCTCTGAATTATAAACATCAGAAATAATACTAATTGTTATTGAAAGTATGCTCCTTCTTACTTTTAGGGATTAAACAATGTTATTGCTATCGACTTTGATTATAGAGAACAATTCATATATTGGATTGATTCTAACAGACCCAATGGAAGTCGCATAAACAGAATGTGTCTGAATGGAAGTGACATCAAGGTAACTATACTGAATACTTTATTGGTATTATTGAATAGGATATGAAATCTTACTTGTTAGCAAAGTATTGCTTATAGAGCATATTAGCTTGGATTCAACTTTATGATTTCTCTAAGTAAATGAATATTTAAACTTATAAAATGAGGTATTTTATTTTCATATGCTATTTTAATATTATTTGTTGCAATTATGTAATAGTTGTAACTTTAACGAACAGTGGAGTATTGATTGAAGTTTTAGCACTGCTCAAATTTACTTAGTTGGAAATTGTTGAATGTACCTGTGTACAATTATGAATTTTTTATTTCCTTATAATTAAACACATGTTACATTCTAGATATGAGCTACTTATTAACACTTTAATGTTACCCTAAATTTTAAATTAAAAATATTAGCTTAGTGTGTATGCTGTAAGATGTATCATATAGAAGTCATTAAGGCTGTGAAAAATGGCTCAGCTGCAAAGAGTACTTGAGGCTCTTGCAGAGGCTCTTGCGAAAACCTTGAGAACCCAGTTTCAGTTTCCAGCACCCACAGAAGGTGGCTCGCAACTGCTTATAACTCTAGTTCCAAAGAACTCAAAGCGCCTTTCTGGCCTCTGTGGGCACCGAGCATACAATTGGTCATACACAAAGCCACAAGCAGGCGCTAAAACATACACATATAAATAAACAAATAAATACACAAACAAATAAATAAATAATACTTTTTAAAAGACTACACAAATCATATGACTGTAGGAGCAGATTGGCTTAGCAGAACAACTGATGTAGTTAAAAGAAAGAGCAGATTTTGTTCTATCATAAAATTTGAAAGTCTGAATAAAATCTACAAAGTTTGTATTGTTCAAACTCAGTTGTGTACTTTCTTGTAAGAACAGTTTTAGTAATGGTCACGTTTATATTTTGAAGACAGCTGAGCTTTTAAAGTGTTATCTCTGTCACCTTCCAACACCTTTCTATTGTTACTTTAAACTACGGTACACTGTGAGTTCAAAAATAGCATCTTTCTTTCTCCAGGTTTACCAGTTCATTGTTGTTCATTGAAACCATCAGCAATGTCAAATTTCAATTTTAGAATTTGTAAAAAGAAAAGAAACAAATTTGTCTTGCAGTCAAAACACCAGGAGAGTATCGTGGCTACTTCAAATTCCCCTGCTTCTCTATGTCATTACCATTGATTGTTTAGAGAAAGAATGATTTCAAAGTTAATTAAATTTTTGGCTTGGGTTGTGTAAACATTGGCTTATATACTCCTCCAAGATTCAACTTCCTTTCTTTCATGTAGTGCTAAAAGTACTAAGAATTCAAATACATAGTATATGTTGCAATAATCATTTATACATGTTATACATAAAACCTATTTTTTTACACATAAGCAAGCACCTTAAGTATGACATGGGTTGAATTTAGTAGCAAAACCCCTTTATTTTTACTTGGCTTTGTACAAACACAGTGCACACTCCTGTCTTTTACTGTGCTGTAGCATAGGGCAAGAGAATTTGTGAGAAAAGGAAAAATATTACTAAAGCCATGACTACTTCTGTTAAAGAAAATATTAATAACTGTTTGTATGCCAATGTGATAGATAGTTATTCCCAAAGTTTGAGAAAGTGAACAGATAAACTCTAATGGAATGAGGTCATTAACTGTGCATCTACTTACTATCTTTTAATTTGCATTATTTTTATAAACATATGTAACTTCTAGAATTCTACATACAAATTGGATAACTTCTTTTCACAATAAATAATGTGTTGTGGTAAATTGTTTTCTTCTTTATCTAAATTTAATTTCTTCAGTTTAAATAGAATTCTGTATCTCAATAAAAAATCAAGAAACAGTTGCTTGATACTTATTGAAGCCATTTATACTGTTAACTTTCTAAATTCTTTTTTGTTAGGTAGTGCATAACACTGCTGTCCCCAATGCACTTGCTGTGGATTGGATTGGAAAAAACCTCTATTGGTCTGACACAGAGAAAAGGATAATTGAAGTATCCAAACTCAATGGCTTGTACCCTACTGTACTTGTTAGCAAAAGGCTGAAGTTTCCCAGGGACCTGTCTTTAGATCCACGAGCCGGGTTTGTAACACTGTTAAAAATCATAAAGCTTTAGACTATACCAATTACAGCAATTCTTCAGCTTAGTAACAAAACTTAAAGTTATATACATACATACAAACATATATATATATGTGTGTGTGTGTGTGTTTGTGTGTGTATAGACTTTTTTAAATAATCAAGCCCATTAAGCATCGCCATGGCAGTTAAAGTGATGAACTTAAAAGCTATTTTATTTTTTTGAATTTTATTTTTTTCTTATCAGTTATATTTTATTAACTCTGTATCGCAGCCGTGTCCCGATCCCTCATTCCCTCCCAGTCCCTCCCTCCCTCCCTCATCTCCACCATGCCCCTTTCCAAGTCCACTGATAGGGGGGACCTCCTCCCCATTCATCTGATCCTGTTTTATCAGGTATCTTCAGGACTGGCTGCAAAGCTCTCCTCTGTGGCTTAACAGGACTGCTCCTCCCTTGAGGGGTGGGGAGGCCAAAGAGCCAGTCACTGAGTTCCTGTTAGAAATAGTCCTTGTTCCCCTCACTATGGGAAACCAATTGGTTACTGAGCTACAACAGGCTACATGTGAGCAGAGGTTCTAGGTTATAGCCATACATGGTTCTTGGTTGAATGTCAGTCTCAGAAAAGACCCTGTGCCCAGATATATTTGGTCCTTGTGGAGCTCCTATCCTTTCCTCATCAGACTAACTCCCCTTCTTTCTTATGATTCCCTGTACTCTGCCAAAGGTTTGGTCATGGGTCTTTGCTTTGAAAACACTGCTAGTTAGAGTCTTTCAAATGCGCTCAGTAGACTCCTGTCATACGTTCAATGCACAGCCCATCTGTCTTTCTAAATGAGGATTGATCATCTTACCCCATGTCCACTCTCTTGATTATCTTTTTTAGGTGTGCAGATTTCATTATGTTTATCACATCTTATAGGTCTATATAAGTGAGTATATACCGTGTTTGTCTTTCTCCTTCTGGGATATTTCACTCAGGATGATCTTTTCTAGATCCCACCATTTTTTTTGCCAGCAAATTTCATGATTTCCTCCTTTTTGATTGCTGAGTAGTATTCCACTGTGTAAAAATACCACAATTTCTGTACCCATTCCTCCATTGATGGACATCTGGGTTGTTTCCAGGTTGTAGCTATTAGAAATAAAGCTGCTATAAACATGGTTGAGCAAATATCCCTTTTGTGTACTTGAGCAAATTTTGGGTATATACCTAGCAGTGGTATATACCCACTGGGTATATACCTGGGTCTTGAGGAAGCACTATTCCTAATTGTCTTAGAAAGCGCCAGATAGATTTCCAGAGTGGTTGTACCAGTTTACATTCCACCAGCAGTGGAAGAGGGTTCCCCTTTCTCCACAACCTCTCCAGCATGTGTTGTCCCTTGAGTTTTTCATCTTGGCCATTCTGATGGGTATAAGGTGATATCTCAGGGTCGTTTTGATTTGCATTTCCCTGATGGCTAATGAGGATGAGCATTTCTTTAAGTGTTTCTCTGCCATTCGATATTCCTCTGTCGAGAATTCTCTGTTTAGCTCTGTTCCCCATTTTTTAATTGGATTACTTGGTTTGCTGCTTTTCAGCTTCTTTAGTTCTTTGTATATACTGGATATTAGTCCTCTGTCAGATAAAGGGTTAGTGAAGATTCTTTCCCAATCTGTAGGCAGTCGTTTTGTTTTGATGACAATGTCCTTTGCTTTACAGAAGCTTTTCAGTTTCATGAGGTCCCATTTATTGATTGTTGCTCTTAGAGGCTGTGCTGTTGGTGTTCTGTTCAGGAAGTTGTCTCCTGTGCCAATGAGTTCTGGGCTGTTCCCCACGTTTTCTTCTAACAGATTTAGAGTATCTGGTTTTATGTTGAGGTCTTTGATCTACTTGGACTTTAGTTTTGTGCAGGGTGATAAATATGGATCTATTTTCATTTTTTCTGCATGTGGACATCCAGTTGGACCAGCACCATTTGTTGAAGATGCTGTCTTTTTTCCATTGAATGGTTTTGGCTTCTTTGTCAAAAATCGAGTATTCATAGGTGTGTGGGTTTATTTCTGGGTCTTCTATGTGGTTCCATTGATCCTCCTTTCTGTTTTTATGCCAATACCATGCAGTTTTTATTACTATTGCTCTGTAGTACAACTTGAGATCAGGGATGGAGATAACTCCAGATGATCTGTTGTTGTACAGGATTGTTTTGGAGATTCTGGGTTTTTTTTGTTTCTCCATATGAAGCTGAGAATCTTTCTTTCAAGGTCTGTAAAGAATTGAGTTGGTATTTTGATGGGAATTGCATTGAATCTGTAGATTGCTTTTGGCAGGATGGCCATTTTCACAATGTTAATCCTACCAATCCATGAGCACAGGAGATCTTTCCATCTTCTGAGATCTTCAATTTCTTTCTTCAGAGACTTGAAGTTTTTCTCAAACAGGTCTTTCACTTGCTTGGTTAGTGTCACCCCAAGGTACGTTATGTTATTAGTGGCTATTGTGAAGGGTGTTGTTTCCCTAATTTCTTTCTCGGCCCTTTTGTCTTTGGTATACAGGAGGGCTTCTGATTTTTTTGAGTTGATTTTGTATCCTGCTACTTTGCTGATGGTGTTTATCAGCTGGAGGAGTACTCTGGTTGACTTTTTGGGGTCGCTCATATATACTATCATATCATCTGCAAATAGTGACACTTTGACCTCTTCCTTTCCTATTTGTATCCCCTTGATCTCCTTTAGTTGTCTTATTGCTCTGGCTAGGACTTCAAGTACTATGTTGAAGAGGTATGGAGAGAGTGGGCAGCCTTGTCTTGTCCCTGATTTCAGTGGGATTGATTTAAGTTTCTCTCCATTGAGTTTGATGTTGGCTATAGGCTTGCTGTATATTGCCTTTACTATGCTTAGATATGTGCCTTGTATTCCTGTTCTCTCCAAGACTTTAAACATGAATGGGTGTTGGATTTTGTTAAATGCTTTTTCAGCATCTAAGGAGATGATCATGTGGTTTTTCTCCTTCATTTTGTTTATGTGATGGATTACATTGATGGATTTCCGTATGTTGAACCACCCTTGCATGCTGGGGATGAAGCCTACTTGGTCATGGTGGATGATATCTTTGATGTGTTCTTGGATTCGGTTTGCAAGTATTTTATTGAGTATTTTTGCGTCAATGTTCATAAGAGAGATAGGTCTGAAGTTCTCTTTTTTTGTTGGGTCTTTGTGTGGTTTAGGTATCAGGGTGACTGTTGCTTCATAGAATGAGTTTGGCAATGTACCTTCTGTTTCTATTTTGTGGACTAGTTTGAGGAGAATTGGTGTGAGCACTTCTTTGAAGGTTTGGTAGAATTCCGCGCTGAAACCATCTGGCCCAGGGCTTTTTTTTGGAGGGGAGACTGTGAATGACTGCTTCAATTTCCTTGGGGGATATAGGGCTATTCAGTCTTTCTACCTGATCTTGACTTAATGTTGGAAGATGGAATCCATCAAGAAAATTGTCTATTTCATTTAGGTTTTCAAATTTTGTGGCATATAGGCTTTTATAGTATGACCTAATGATTGTTTGAATTTCCTCAGTGTCTGTAGTTATGTCACCCTTTTCATCTCTGATTTTGTTGATTTGGATAGATTCTCTCTGCTTTTTAGTTAGTTTGGCTAAGGATTTGTCTATATTGTTGATTTTCTCAAAGAACCAGCTTTTTGTTTCATTGATTCTTAAAAGCTATTTTAAAAATCTGCTTTCTATGCAATTGAACAAGATTTTTTTTTTCTAAAAGGTCAATGAAATTAATAAAAAAAAAGAGTTAACTGTTGTTGATGCCACATTCTCTGGGAAAAGGGAGACAGAAGACCCTAAAATGCCTTTTCCAGCTAACTTGGTCAAAGCTATAAAATGTATAAGTACAACACTTAAAACAAGAGATGTAATTGGTACCTATAGATAGTGAGGTCAAAATTTCAAAAGAAAAACTGAGTACCATGGGAAAGTTTAGTGTTGGAACAAGAGAATGAGGAACATATTGCAGACATTTTGACCAGAAGGTCACCCCCTTAATGTTTCAAAGCTGTATGATGCATGGTGAAAATCTATACATTATGACCATTTTAGCTCACTTTTGATTATGTTATTTTGGTAGGTGTAGAATGCACCACGTTCGATTTTTACACTATAATGTAGCATAATTACATGTTCAAAATTACTTCTGTTCAAATAACAAATTTAATGAAAACTGATTGTGTTAAAGTAGAGGAACCTGCAGGGGACTGGCATAGTGCTCTAAATTCACTCAGCAAAGTATGTTTTGCCAAGTAACCGCAGTGATACTTTAGCCGTCATTAGGCGTTGGTTATTGCCAATGTTGTCCATCTCTGTTTTAAGTCCCTCATGCTTATAAATGGAAATTTATTATGCCATAATATACCTTACAGCTTAATTTTGGCTAAACTGTACAGAATTAGCCAAGAATTGCATCGTGTTGCTGTTTCGAAGGGAGTGCACACCTTTCAACTTTTTACTATGTATTTACATAGTAATTTTATTATATTTTAAAGTATTTCTTTACCCTAGCAACATAATTTTCAAAGTAATCTTAACCAAACCATTATAAATAAATGTCCCTGGGAGTATTTAAGTCAATATTGGCCAGATACTCTCAATTTAACCCCACTTGCATTCATTCATAATTTTTTGGATAATTTGACTGTTTTGCCATTTTGTCAGGAACTATTTGACTCTCTCATTTGCTGTACTCTCATTTGCTTACCATCTCACACCAATCTGGCTTCTTGTTCCAAGCCATTGAGGATCCTTCCCTTCTAATGAAAATAAAACATTATCTGTTTATAAGCATAAACTGTAATTCAGAATTTCGTGTTTATGAAGGAAAGGCTACTCCTGGATTGGCAAAGGCTGATCAAGCTCTGGATTTTATTTCTTCCCAGATATAGTGATGACCCTATAAACTGAATTAAGCCTTCAGTTACCATCGACATAAACTCATCACTAAAAATGTCAATTAAAATAGTAAGG